AGAGAGAGAGAGAGAGAGAGAGAGAGAGAGAGAGAGAGAGAGAGAGATTGTTAGTACTATTAGTATTCAGTACATATTAATTAATTGAAGGATTATGATGTCTTCTGGTTTCTCCTTCCTTCCTTCCTTCCTTCCTTCCTTCCTTCCTTCCTTTCTCTCCCTGCCTCCCTCCCTCTTGCTATCTTTCTTTCTTTCCTTCCTTCCTTCCTGTCTTCTTTCCTTCCTTCCTTTCTATTTTCAGCTGGAAACCACTATATCAAATGTGTGTATCTTGTTAAGTTTTGATTGTTTTAATTTGCTTTCCTGCACTATCTACTTATAGTACAACTGCATCAAAAATAGAGTTCCTATGATATGAATGCTTGGCTTTATTTCCTTCTTATTTTCAAGCCACAGTATCAAAAAAAGCTATATTAACATTCTTACACCTTATAAATATGGCAAAGAGAGTGGATGTCTAATGTTATTGCAATGTATAGATTTGTGTTAATGTAAAGTAATACACAACTTTATGCTATTAATAACAATATAAGTTTGTGCCTTTTCAAAAGTGACACTGGTGGCAAGAGCTGTTAATACTAAGTTATCAAAGAGTAATTGAAGAACATTAAATTTAAATAAGCTCGGATGGATGTCATAGCAGATTGTTATATAAAATTACTTCGAGGTTTTGTTTCTGACATGTTTCCAAATTTTTGCCGAGTGACAAATGTTATCCTAAATTAAGATAGTGTTCTTTCCCAATGAACTTTTAAGATTCATTTTTAATACCAGTTCTTTATTCTTAAACTTGAATGACACCTTTCAAGTTTTGAATTAAATTTTCTGTTTGGAAAAACAAGGATGCAGGAGTTTTAATTGTACGATGAATAACTATTGGATCTTGTGCATTATCTTATATAAATAATTATATCTCATTCCATCCCTAATATCTCCGTCAGTCTCCTCTTAAAACCATACTAGTTAGCTTATTAGCAATCACTCTTGTGAGTGAAAATATTTGTGGATCATCAAACACTGATGACATCTGCAAAAGCTTTTTAGAGTTACATTGATTATTTTTCCTTTCTCTCTCTCCCCCTCCTTTTCTCTTTCTCCCCTGAGAGAGATGAAGAATATACAACCTGAATCAGAAATTGTCACAGTTCTTGTTCTGCTTTTAAATTATGAACTGTTTGACAAATTGCTATTGCCCTCAAGCCACTTGACTTTGTCAACAGTTGACTCTCTTTCTCATTCATTTGAATAGAAGAAGGGGTTTCTACTTAAAGGGTAATTTTATGGTAATTTATTGTTTTGGAATATAAAACTTTATGTGTTAACAAAACTATTACAATGACGCCTTTAGGTTTAGTGTTTTTAATTTTGCATCCACTTAATAATAATAGTAAAATTATCAATTTACTTTGCTTGTATGTGAATACAATTGCTTACAATTGCCATATTTAGGACTTATCTAAATTTTGAATATGGAATTTACCACATAATTACCAAATTAAAGCAGACACCAATGTGGTGTTGGACAGCATCTGTCTATCTATCTATCTATCTATCTATCTATCTATCTATCTATCTATCTATCTATC